TATCCCATGCATTTCATATAAATGGAGTCACACAACGTGTCACCTGCCGTGAATGAATTCTTCTACAGAGCGTGTTTCCAGCTTCATTCATTCTGTAGCAAGTGCACTACTTCATTTCTTCTTGTAGCCTAATAATGTCCTGTTGCATGAATGTTTCACACATTGTTTATGTATTTATCAGTTGATGGACATTTAGTTTTGGATTTTCCATTATTCTGTTTTGCTTTGTGTATCTGCTTTGAACATAGAGAACCGAACTTCCAGTCCTCTTGATTACCCATCTGAGAGTGGAATTGTGGAGTCATATTTAAATCCCTGATAAGCTTTTGGAAGAACTGCACATTTTTTTTTTCCTACAGTGTTCCCATTTTACAGTTTCAATTTCTGCTCTTCCTCACAACATTGGTTATCGTCAGTCTCTATAATTGTAATTATCTTAGTAGACAAAACACTGTCATCTTCATTTGCACTTCCCTAGTGTGTGGACATTTTTTAATATGCTTATTGGCCAGTTTGGGGGGAAATGTGTACTGAAGCCTTTTGTTCACTTTTAACTCAGTTCCTCTTATATTGAATAATTCTTTATGCATTTTGATACAAAACACTAATGTATGATTTGCAAATTCATTGTGATGTGCTATCTTGTGAAGTAAAAAATTAGTTTTAATTGTGTTTTATTTATCTAACATTTTCTTTTGTCTTCTGTGCTTTTGTCTCATCATAGCTGAAAATGTTTGATCACGAAAATTTTTTTTTTTTGGTTTTCCTAAGTTTTATAGTTTACTTCTTTCATTTAGGTCTTTGATTGATTTGGGGTTATTTTTGTATATAGTGTGAGGAAGGGATCCCTATTCAAGTCTTCCATGTGGATATCCAGTACTTCTAACACTATTGGTCAAAAGCAACATCTCTCTCATTGGATTATCTTTGTACTCATCAAAAATCAGTCGACTATAAATGTAAGTTTTCTTTCTGGATCCCAAAGTCTGTTTCCAGGTGGTGTGTTGAACATTATTACCAGCCTCACCACACCACTGGTTTTGGAGTAATTTTGTAGTAGGAAGTTGAGCCCTTGTTTATACTTCCATTTGAAGATTGCTTAGCCATTTTGGCTTTGGCACATTTCTATATGATTATTAAGAACAGCTTGTCAGTTTCCATAAAGGCCAGCTGGAATCACATATATAACTCTAAAAAGTGATGATATTATTAACCTTAAAGTATATACTTCCTACCAAAGGAATAAATCTCTCCTTGTAACTTTGCAAACATTTACATTGGGTAAGATTATGCAATGGCTTAACAGATATGACAGAGGCTGGATCTGGGGTAGGTAGGAGTTCCAGTGCCCTCCGAGGCAGTGAACCAAAGGACACAGTTGACATTTCAGAGGACTCAAGAAGCAGCGCGGGAGCCAGATGTGTGCAGACACAGGGCCCCAGACACAGCATAGCCCCGCTGCAAGGCACCTGTGAGCACCCTGGCGTGCACCTTCCAAGAGCTGAGCAGGTGCTCTGGCTGTGCCAGGGCTGATGATCCAAAATGACCCCAACACGGTCAAGACCCAGATTTCATGTCATCCATCCCTGAGATGTTCCTGTGCTTGCCTTTTAAAGACTCTTCCCACGCCGACCAAAAATGATGCTCACTCTACAGAATGGAAATACAGATAACACAGACTTTTAATGAATTTGTGAATCTCAGCATTCCAACAGGGAGGATCGGTAGGATAACTGTTAACAGAAAAGCCAAATATGCCATTTCAAAATATCAGGAAGGAGAAAAATAACGGTATCATTATTTTTAGGTCATCAGAAACACATTCATCCACGTGATCTATCGTTTTGGCAGATTCCCCAACGAAATATACAGACTGGACTGTTTAGATCTAATAAGCAGGCTGGGGATTTAGCTCAGCGGCATAAGTGCCTGCCTTGCAAGTAGGCAGTCGAGAGTTCAATCCCTGGTACCGAAAAAGACAAAAAAAAAAAAAAAAAAAAAAAAAAAAAAAAAAGATCTAATAAGCAGCCAGTCCCATCTACATTTTTACAGCTGGTGTTTAAAAATATCTCAGGATCTCCAGCTTTTGAGGGAGGGCAGGATATCACTAAGTGTTTTAAGTTGCCCCCCACTTGGGTTTCATTTGTAACCCTCTTGCCTCAGCCTCTGAAGTACTGAGATTATTTTATGTGTGGGTTTTGATGCCCAACTCCCCTGGAAGGTTGACTCCACATCCAGTCCTGCATTAAATGTCACTTGTTCATTGATATATTTGCTTGATTTATTCATGGATGCAAATTGTTCCAAAATCCCAATTTGATTCAGTGCCCAACTACATATTGAGAAAAGAAGAATGAGATAATTCCTGCTAAGAATCTCATTAGAATAAATGTCTAATAAAGTAAACTAAGGCAACTACAATGTGATCTGAAAATGTTTATAATTAGGATTCTAGAGGCCTGGGGTCAGTGGAAGCAGGGCCAGGAAGCCTGGCTGTGAGCTGACCTGGCGCAGCGGCTGGGACAGGCTCAGCACAGGACCACCCCCTACTGCAGCCACCCCAAGAGCCAGGGACCACAGGCTTCTCGGGAAACCACAGCATCCCCGGCCTGCACTGGGCTTGATGGTGCAAAATGAGTACAGAGCAGTAAACAGAGGGATTAGGAGGGATTTTGTGTGCCCTGCAAAGATTAAAGCTGAATCTTGGGGCGGTCCATCAAGAAGTGCACGTGTATGACATCTGGAGGTTTGCTGAGAACCTTTGTGGTCATGTTGGGGAGGCCAGGACCCAGGATGGGCCAGGTAGGGGGAAAGGAGGGCAGGGGCTGCTGCAGGCCTGGGAGCAGGTGAGCGCTGGCCAGGACCATAGTGGAGCAGCCTTTGCAGGCAGTTAGTGAGATAAAAAGGCAGCAGTGAGATGCATTGAAGGAGGATGCGGGGACCACGCGGAGAACCGGCACACAAAGCCACTGTCTATAGCAGTGGGATAAACTTGTCTCCTGAGCTGCCATCTGCTGGCATCCCAGCAGATGCTTCAAAGCATATCAGCGGTGTGGGCTTTGGAAGATGACTGGGCCACCAGCTTTCTCCCCAGGAAGGGGAGAGACACAAGGAACTGTCACCCTGCCTAGCACACAGGAGGTAGGCAGGAGACCCCCCGCCAGGACAGCAGCACCCTGGCACCCTGCTCTCAGACCTCAGCCTAGAGGAATGCGGAGAAATAAACCACCAGGTCTAAGGATGGCTTTATAGTAGTTGGAACTGAGATCTCATCGACTGTCTGTGTCATTGTCCTCTTCATAAATGTAAAGGATGATATATTTGTAATTTTTAGCTGCATAGATATGCCAAGTTCTCAGAAGACATAAGAAATGACATTATCCTTTCGGGGGAGATAAAGTTCCTGTGTGAAATGCACAGCGTGTTTTCTCCCTTTCGTTAAACAACTCACACCCCGAGTCACTGTGCGTGGAAGGCAGTGATGTCCCCAGAAAAAGTGTGAGGAAGGCCCCCCTGCAGGGCTGCGGGTGGTTATCCACTGTTCTGTCCTCTGCAAGTTTTCCAAGCAAGAATGAGGAGTCTTGAATGAGGGGAGGGTGGGAGAAGGGAGTCGCAGAGAAGAAAATGCAGGCCTGGAGGCTGCCTTGTGCAAATTAAGTGCTGCTCTTTTCTTTTAAAGTTCTTCACTGCAGTACAGGCCCACCCTCAGGGTCCAAGGTGCGAGTCCTCGATCCAGAACTTAAAAACCCAATGCATGTTCAGTAGAGCCAGCACCTCCTGGACTTCTGAGAAGCTGGGATCCCTCGTGTTATTAATGCATGACTATGTTTTCACTTTTGGTAAAATATCCAGTCAGATCGCTGAGTAACAGATCATAAAGCAGTGAATCCCACTGACCTGAAACAGTGCATGGGACTTCCACATTTATAGACTCCTTTCTCCTGAGTGACATTGTGTAAGGGAACAAAAACTAAATATTAAAATAATAAAAGGGAAAGGATGTGTCATTCAATAATAGCTCTGCTGGATTAAACACAGATAAACAGGCCTCTACTGTAAGACTTCATCCTCTTTATGATGCTAATGAGTTGTAAATCACCAACTGCTTCAGTTTCCGGGAAGCATTGTTAAGCTCCGTCTGGGACTCTGTTAGCCTGGGACAAAAGTATGACAAGTTGAAGGAAGTACAGAACACCAGAACACAGATCATCACGTTATTTGTCTGGCGTGCAGTGGTTGCCAGGGCCAGACTGCAGGACAGTAGAGGACAGAAAAGGGGCACGGCTGGGGGCGCAGTGTGAAGAGGGCAAACTCTGCCCTGGAGATCTTGGGAAGCTGAGTGCTGAGGACCCAGTTCAAGATTCTAGCTCCTGCGGTTGGCACTGATGAGCCACACCCCGAGGGGCTATGTAAGAGGCTTCACGGTATACACCACTTCAAAGCCATGCACCCCTCTCCATAGCTGTCTCGGGAACACAGGGACCTGCCAACACAGGGACCATCACAGAGCATCACTTAGCATCACCATTGCTAAGCACTGCTAAATCACAACCTTACAGTCAAGTGTAGTTCATCAGAAATCAGGGCTAAGTTCAGTGACGGGGTCTAGAGACACTACTGGAATGCACGGGGGAGAAGAGGCCACGTGGGCAAAGGCCCCTCCATGGAACCAGTCCCCTTTCTAAGCACTCAGAGTGGTGTCCCACTCCAAACTTGTTTCGGAAATAGCCATTACCAAACAAACCGGTTGAGGTGAAATCAGCAGGGAGTCAAGAGAAGGTGGACACCAGCAGGTTCTGCCTTTCCAGAGGCAGACCAGACAAGTGACAAGTTCCAGGGCAATGCTTTGGCCTCACAAAGTGTCCAGTACCAAACCTGATGAGTTCTGAGGCAGTCAAATACCAAGTTACGACCCAGAATTTCGCATAATGAAAATCATGGCAAAACAAACTGACATGCTGGTTTTCTTGGAGTCCAAAAGATAAATCTTACATCCACACTTAGTGTCTCCCCAAAATAGCCACCTTCTTTTATTTGATGATTCAGTACATTTTTAATTCAAATGGTCACCACTTAACCTAGGCACGATATTAAGCATTTTACAAGCAAAGTCTTTTACTGATTTTCTTTCCAATTGCCAAAGAGTATAATAAGTGAACTGGCTAAAGGATATACTCCTGTACATTTAAAAAAAAAAAAAATCCATGTATTTATACAAGTGTATGGAACAGAGTTTAAGAGTAAGGAAAAAAAAAAAAAAACACATAGCATCAAAATAAATAGGCTGCTTTCCTACCGTACAACACAGGAGACTGTGTCTGGAATCTGACCATTTTATCCAGGTGAAATATGTTCTTCAGAGCTGGGATCATTTCCTCCCAAAAAAGGCTTGGCTGTTAATGACGGGAGCTGAAAGTCTACTTTTCATAGGCTGCTTTTTTCTTGCATTTGGATTATGATAATTATTTTCCAAAACATGTTTGCAACTCACCAGTTCTATTGGTTTCCCACTTCCATATTTTAAAATACAGATTAACCTAAGCTCTAGCACCATATGAGAAGGAAATACATGTATTTTTCTTGTCAGAGCAACAATACTTTATATCAACTTTGTTCTCTGGCTATAACAATTCTGTTTAGAAAAAAATTTACCAAGCTAAAAATAGTTGATCTAGGTTGTCATAAAAAAGAATATTAAATACCTTTGGTAAAAATAGATATATTTAACAAGATTAGAAAAGCCAACAGTTATAATGTCAAAAGGAGAATATGAAAATGTACACAATAAAACAAATAAACCAACTTAGAGTTAAAGTGAAGATAAGGCCACTCTTCTCTCTGGGTTTGTCTCTTCCAAACCTCGAATGTAGTTCTCTTCTTCTAAAAGGCAGATATTTTAATACAAAAATATGGAAAATCCAGTCTCTCCTATCAGCGTGACACCAGTTTAATTCATAGCAAGGCAGTTCCTCTTGAAATACCAAGTTTATAGAACATTCTGATTTATAAATGTGAAAATAAGGCAAAAATAAATTCCAGATTCCCCATGATTTTAGGCCCGACGCAAGGAGCTTTAGTTAAGCAAAGAAACAGAACAAACTGTTCGCTGGCACTGTGTTTTCCTTACTGACATAACTTAAGCCACATCAGGACAGATGCATTACAGGGCGTTGCTAGCAAGGCAGGGACACTCTAAGTCCGAAACTAGCTCGTGACCTATAGCATTCAGTTATTCTCCACTCCACGGCGGGCGAGCTTTCCCCAGTCCTCTGGGCATCCTCTCAAAGGCACTGCTGGGCACCTCCTGAGTCCATCTGTGATCTCCTGCTGTGGAACGCACTGCACACCCTGCCGATGCAAGGTCCTCGAAGCCATGGAGACAGAGGATGGAGAAAGGCACTACTTCCCTAGCAGAATGCACCGCTGTGGGGCAATGGCGCTGGCCTGCCCCGTTATCCCCCGGAGTGGGAGTGCCCTCGACACACGCAGCCGCATTCCTCGTGGTGCTCCAAAGCAATGTCAGTGAGTGATTTGTGCAGTCCCCGGATACCGGTCTTTGGTCTCAACTGGAGGACCTGAAACGGAAGGAGGTAAGACACCTTGCAATCAATCCATCAATCATCAATCAGTGTCCATAATACTTGATTTCAGGTGCAAATAACATTGTGGGAAAGAATCTTGGGGCCCCCAAGGAGACTCCCAAAGGTCAGTGTTTCCTAATGAAGGCATCCTGTGAACATTCTTCTCCCCCAATCCGGTCCTAAACTGTCACCATCACTTCACTAAAGAAGCACTACTTCCACGCCAGCAATCCAGAAGCAGCGGGGCTCCCGCTAAGATCTGGGCTCACACTCCAGGACTCTCTGTATGCTCCAGATGGTGCTTGTGCAGACTCACTCCGGAGAGCTGCGCCTCCAGAATCTTGGAATTGCTAAAACAGTTTGTTTTCCTATTTGTGACTTTCTTCTTTTCCTTCATTTACTCACACATTTATCAAATATTTACCCTTGGAGCAGTACATGCAAGCCCAGGACTACCATGGAAAGAAACACAATCACTATACCTTGAGTGTGTTCAGTTATGTCACTCATTAATGATTTTGGCTCCTCTTCAAGTCCTCTATAAACCTGATGGGGAGGATTAGATGTACTTCATAGATAACAGCCTCAGTGACAGCTAACCTTCTGCAGCTGGACTGTAGCATACAGTGCGAGAAGGTTTAGCAGGGACAGAAGTGATGCCCCATTCAATGGAGGTATCTCAGTTTGGATGCCTGTGCTCTTTAATAAAAGCAGAAAAACAGACAGGCAAGCCAAACACACTCCTGTTAATACTGTGACAGATAGATCTATCTGTGTATTCTACAAGACTACTAAGGTACTGATAGCAACTGCTTGCTTTATTTCTTAGAGCTAATCACACTTCAAAACTCATGGTTAGACTTGTGAACAAAAACCAGAGCAACATAAAAGGAAATTGTTTAGCTTCTCTGCTTTCTAGGTGCGACACAGAAAATTTTATGAAGCAACTTTGACAAGCGACCTACTATTCTCGTAAATGTTCATTAATCTACAGAGGTGCAAGTCAAATCTTGTGACCGCTCTGTTTGAAGATTTACAAAAGCTGCAGAATGCTTGCCTCATTTGCAGTTTGTGGGTCTATCACTGGTTAATTAGCTGACATTTTTTGAATACTTACTGGGTGCCAGGCACAATAATAATGTGTTTTTACATACTTTAACTCACAAGAATTCTATGAAGTAATTTACAATTATTATCCGTGTTTCACACTTGAGTGAACACAGACTTAGAATGACATAGTTATTTGTACCTGAGCCAAAGAGAAATCACTGAAATAAGAGTGAGATAGAATATTTTTATAAAGGCTCAGAATGTTACACTCAATTTTTTTTAGTAACTTTCTTGCAGATAGATAAACTTCAAAGTTAAACCTATTAAAATGAATGGACTGTGAGAGCCGCAGTTTATAGGACAAAAGACTGACACTGTGATGCGGGGGTACGAAACTGAACGTGATGGCGCTGGGTGCTGTGTGAGAGCAGCACTAAGGTGTCCAGTTTTTCTTTTTTTCTTTTTTTTGACAGGGTCTCACTGTGTTGTTCGCTTATTTAGCCCAAGATGGCCTTGAACTCATAGTGATCCTCCTGCCTCAGCCTTCTGAGTGTTAGGATTACAGGTATGCACCACCACACTGGGCCAGTACTGACTGGGTTTTGGACAACTATAATGCCGTGTTCACCAGGTACATCTAAGATCCTAGGGCAGCTCCTTGCCATCGAGCTCTTGGTGTGAACCGTTCCTGGAGCAAAGGTACAGTAATGGCACAGCCAGTATCCTCAGCTGCTGTCACCACCTGCATGTGCTTCTTCACTCAGCTGGGAGAAAATGAGTAGGAAAGGGAGAGAGAGAGGCCACCGTGGCAGATCCTCCTGAGGTGAGCCGGGCTTCCTTTCATCAGCTCCTGTCAGGTGGGGCTGGTAGAGTGAAACTCAGCCCACTCCACACTCTCATGCAGCCTCTGCCCCCTGACCTTCCTGGAGATGCAGGAGTAACAGGAAAATCCCACAATGCCCTCGTCATTTTAAAAAGTCTCAGATAAGGAAGTCTAACCCATAGGGGAGATGTTATGAACGTTTTCCCTCGTAATGCTTTGGGAAGTTTGGGCTTTGGTAAAAAGAAGTAGGCTTGGAAAATGACCAGGAGGTCGTGGGTAACATTAAAGAGGAAATTTTCATTTTTGGGATGTGGATTAGAAAAGCAATCAGGCAGAAGTACAGCACACAAAACTTGGATGAGGGACTCAGCATACATTTAAAACAAAACTGGGTGCAGCATACATTTAAAACAAAACTGAGCGAAAAGTTCACACTAAAACCACAAGTCCATGAGGAAAAAATAAATGGGTGTCCAGGAAATTTCAAGCCACAGACTGTGAAGAGAACATGAGACAGAGACAGAATCGCCAAGCAGAGCTGCCAGCTCTGCACAGGGACGTGAGCACTGGGGAAGGAGACCCAGGGCCAGGGTGTGGCAGCCGGACCTGAGCCCCGCTAGGCAGACTTCCTTCAGGTGATGCGAAAGTGCACTGCACAGATAAAGATTCGCCTGACATGCGAGCACCAGGCTGACTAAGAATACACAAGAAAGTCTCTGTTCTAGTGTTGCCAGAGAGCTTCTGACCACAAGGGTGCGTCTCTTTGATGAGGCCAAAGTGCTTTCAATTGTGGCGACTGATCATTCGCCGTAACTGCAGAGAGGGGCACAAAGATGGGGAGAGAACAGCTGGTGTCTCAGGGGCTGAGCAGGTGCCAGCCCTCGCTCTGAGTGCTCTGCATGCTATCAACTCACTGGGCTGTCACCTTTACAAAGGAGAAACTGAGGCACCCGATTGCATAGCACGCTCAAAGCCACTGAGAGGAGTGCTAGGTTCAAACTGGGAGGTGTCCCCCTGGAGTCCACTCTGTACAGTGTACAGTCTGTATACTGTATCATGATCGTTGTTTTCTCTAGCTCTCAACTGGGCAGACACTGATTTTGAAATGGCACAAGTTCCCTCCCGTGTTTATCTTTATAGTGTTTGCTGCTGGGTACCGGAGGTGAACCAGTCTCTGTGTAAGGACAAGTAGGATCCTAAAAGCTGTTTCAAGGGAGGAGGACACACAAGTTGACACATATATAAACTTTCTCACTCACTTTCTTCAAAACTCCCACTTAGGAGATGGAGAAGCCATGGAGGAAAGGGACTTCTCTGAAGGCAGTGTCTCTAAGACAATGATCCAGTCACCGATACCAAAGCAACATGGGCCCCTTAAGTAACATCATGCCATTTGAGTGTTATGCTAAAATAAGATGACATTATACATCAAGAGCTTTTTAATTTTCACAGCTACTCAACCCTGACACCTGTGAAAGCTGGCCAAGTGATGGAGCGGATCTACAGGGACGTCTGAGTTCTCTCTTTGCTTCTCCTATTTCCATGAAATGGACAAGTCTTTCAAAGACAGCGGGGAACCCCATAAAACAACTAAAGTCTACAACACAGGCTTGTCTTAACATAAACCTTTGGTATGGATTAATGGTATTCAATTATTTAATAATTTTGAATCATTTTAACTTATGTTTAAAAATAATTTCACTTATTTAGTAGTGATACCAGACTTGACTGGCAACATACCAGAACACCAAAAAATAAAGAAAGAAGTAACAATTCAGGCCTCGGAAATTTTCAATTATATCAACAAATAGCCCTTTCTTCATAAGATAACTATCCTAAGATACTATCACAGAACAATTGATGATTCCCAGGTGCTATTTAAAATCTGGGGCATTGTTATTGAAAAATACCTGTGCAACAAGCAGACTAGGTGATTTGATAATTCTACTTCTTTATATTTCTGTATCACAGATATTTGTGGGAAATTGATGGGTAGACATATAATTATATCATCTGAAAAAAAAAGTTTGTAGCTGCACAGGCACCTTCCCCTCCCGAGACTGAGGAGTGAGGGAATGGCATCATTCTGGAAGAATCTCTGAGTCTACTGGTTCTGCCCTGACATCTGTGCCACACAAGCATGTTTATATCACCGGAGGCTTGAAAACAGTTGGTACACTGTGGTACTCTCCAGATAACTGTAAAGCTAAGGAGAATGTAAACAGTGACTTACAGGTATAGATGTCTGGGCTGTGAGTTGGTTTAGTAGGCAAAACACAGACTCTGCAACTGGAAACTCAGGTGTGGGCTTTATAGCTCTTACATTAGTGACTCTAATATAAAAGTTCAGGGTTCTGGGGACATGGAGCAGTTGGAGAAGCTGCTCCAAAACTTGCCTTGGACAACTGCAAATCAAATGAAGGGGCAGCTGAGGGTTTGGCAGCTGAACCTCTGAATTTAGAGGTTCTCCATTTAATAAGTGTCAGATTGATTTCAATTTCAGTTCTCCACCAGTTACCTAAAGTAGAAAACGCAAGCACCATGACAGTAAAATCATCAGAGGTCTGGACATGCTGGCAGAAAAACTTCCAAAGCTCATACATCCAAACTTAAGTGGAGATAAACTGAAATCACCAGCACCTTGGCACCTTTAAACAAGGTGGATTGCCAAAAAGCTGGATCTGTCTCACGGGAGGTCAACACCCTGAACGACTACCAAGAGACCGTCCTCAAGGTCGCGGCCCAGCTAAGTGAGCTGGATGGACAGTGCCGAGAGGACCACAAGCTCCGGACTCCAGGTGGGGTGGATGCGCAGAGACGCAGGATGGGGAGGATGAGGAAGACGAGGAGGGTGAGGAGGAAGACTTGCATGAAAAAGAGGAGGGAGACGAAGACACAGAAGGGGAAGAGGATGAAGACGCAGGCAGTGAGGAGGGGGAATAGGGACCGAATAGAAACTGATGAAGATGAAGATGAAGAGCGCCAGGAGGGGAACTGGGAGGGGAGGAAGAAACAGACGATGATGAAGAAGATGGCGAAAACCCAAACAACCTGCAAAAACTCAGCTCTTCAGTACTGGCTGGGGTGCTCATGGAGTGGGGAGCTGTTTTTATTATTGTTGTTATTGTTTTAGAAAAGTGAGCTGGGATAGAAACCCCAGGACACCCACCCACATTTTGCTTTCCTCATTCTGTGGCTCTTGGTAATCTGTCACCAAGCACAGGGACTTTGCCCAACAAACCTGTAAGCATTATGGGTTTCTGGCTGTAGTGTGGCCAGCTGTAACTGGAGAGTGAGCTGCCCTGGACTAGTGTTACACTGAGACTGGAACAGCATTTTTGCTTTCTGTAGAACCAGAAGCTTTGCACATGAAATCTTAACACTTTGAAAATCTTACGTGTGCAATGTCTACAGTTCCCAAGGCTTTAAAAAAGGCAAAATTGCTAATACTCCATCTCCTATTTCCCTTAATCCAAGAGAATAAAGTTACTACTTTAATAACTTTAATATTAAAATGATTTTAGGGTTAAAAGATCCTTCCAGATTAATCCATATTCTCAGAGCACCTTTTAATGCTATGCTGGGCAATTCTGAGTTCTGCCAGGTTTGGGACATTTTGATTTGCACATCATTGGAGCCCTGCTGTATTAAAGACACTGTTATTGCTGCTGACTAAATTCCCAGTTTGAGGCGTGCTAAAAAGGCTGCCTGCATGTACATCTGCCTGGGGCTCTGGACCACTGCACTCTGCCCCGACTCCCAGACCAGCTACTTCTTACAAATGGGTCACAGACTCGACTCCTAAAACAAGGATCTTTAGAGCTCCGGGAATGGATGTGAAAGCTGAGCATGCATAATGACAGTAAATAATCCTACTTTTAATGACAGGTGATTAGTTTTGGAAGACTGCCACCCAGTAACAGTTAGGGAATAACAAAGGTAGGGGAACTTGAGAGAAGATCCATTTCCCGCTCATTTCACAAAGGTTAAGCATCCTGACGATGGTCACAAGTGAATGGTACATCTCAGCTGGAGACAAGGGCCCTTGTCTTCTGGAACTGGGGAATTTTATTTCCTGCTTACTCTGATACCAATACAGCACTGATGAAGTCCTAGGAAGTACTGTTAACAAGACTGTATGTTTACATTTCTCAACAGATGAGGGTTTCATCAACGTCCTTTTAAAGTAGATATTTATTCTGTTTCATTTGAAACAAAAATTTAAAATAGCAAGGACATATTGAAATCAAGTCAGAAGGGTAGATTTTGGCTTGGTGTAAGGTAAATATTTTATAAAAACTCAGGGTGACTCACTGGAAAGGCACTTGGTCCAATGTGTGTTTGTTGCATGGTGCTGGCTGGGGGCTGCAGTGTTTAGCTAAGGATATTCTAGCATTGATGAGTATTTTAAGTGTATGAAGCCCACAGTTCTCAAGGGTTTAAAAGTAAGATTTACTAATATTCCATATTGTATTTTCCTTAATTCCAGAAAATAAAAGAGTTAAAGAGTGAACAGACCCCTAAATCACTGAGCATGTTATTAGAGGTGACATAAATACCACAAAGAGCAGTGTCACGGTGAACACGTTCTCTTGGGATTTATGTGCCCACTGGGGCCCAAATAAGAAAATAAATTACAAAGATTTCCTTTTCCAAAATAGACAATGAATTATCTCTAAGCCTGTCTTTGAAATATTTCCCTTCACAGTTTGCAAAGTTGAAAAGTTGAAAACATTCCCCAACTTCTTCCCCTCAGAAAAACACATTTTCTTTTTTGTCTCCACAGTAAAAACTTCACTGACCACCCATGCTCAGCTACCAGAGAATAAGCCTTCTAAATCCTTAATCTATGGGTTTTAAACTGAAGATCCTCGTTTTTAAAAGAGAAGCAACATAAACATTTTAGACCTCCCTCCCCACAAATGCTACATCTCTTCTCTACATAGAAACCCACTGCAGACACAGGGCTTGGCTGTAAGATGCACTGTCCCCAAAGGGAGCTGGACAGAACACGACACACCTACCTCGTGGTACTTTTTTGTGACTTTGCTTGGGACACACTGGCATTCACTGCAGCTGTGGAGACAACAGGCACAGTTTCCACCACAGCGTTTGACCAGGAGGCAACCTGGCCAGAAGATGGTATCGGTTCTCTTTAGCTCTTCCCTGATGGACACCGAGAAGTTACGAGGCGTGCAGCTGTACAGTTTCACCTCCTCTTTGATAAGGTTCAGATCCACCACTACAGGGCACAAAGCATAGAAAAAATGGTAACAATGGATGTTCGCGCTTTGAGACAGTACACATTTGGGGCAGCACTTTTCCTAGAGAGATGGAGCTATTTCACAAATCATAACCCTCACCATATCCCTTCTGAGTTTAATGAGGCTGTAAGGCTAGACAGCTCGCAAACGGACGCTGCATTTCACGGTAAACAAAGCTTCATTATGACTTGGTGACCAAGAAAGAGACGCCATTGTGCAATATGACGAACAGAGCCAGCGAAACAGTGCAGAGCTATAAATAGGAAACTTTATAGAGGAAAAAAAAGGGCGACACCTTTTAACCTTGGTAAAAGAGGAGACAAGGAGAGCATTGGAGAGAAGAGCACCATGTAAAATGATGAATGCTTTGATTAAAAAACAAATACGATTTTTAAACGGGTAATGGGGGTGAACCATTAATGGACAACTTACCAAAGCCAGTCAAGAGAACTGTCAATAGACTGTGTGGCAGTAACAAACATAAAATACAGAAAGAGGATGGAGATGTATTTTTGCAGCTGAGTGGACCATAAGTGGAAAAAAAAAAACAAAAAAACTTCTTTCACTGTAACAGTAGAAGATGATCAAAGCACAACTTCTGAAGGTATTAGGTACTACGCTTTTTGAAAGTTAGACTAACTTGGTACTTTTAGATTTCTGTCCTCCCCTGCTAAAAGATGGAAGAGATGGCTAATTTGTAACCCTTGTCTTTGTGCTTTTAGCAAATTGTTTAACTATTTCGTGTTTAATTCTTTTAAATACCTACTTGTAAAGACCAACTACACAAAATATCCTTTCATTAGAGGGTTGCAGTAAATCCTCAAAGAGTCATTGTTTTTAACTACAAAATGATATTCACTGTCTCAGGAAAATTGCTCCAAAGTCACATGCCATGTTTACTATGAATTTAAACATAAAACATGGATAGTAGTGAATTACTAGAAGAAATACTTTCAGTGTAATTTTAATTTCTGCTTTACAGTTCTTTAAGAAATACCACATAATACAATTATTCAAAAGATTAAGACGCTGACATATTCTTTAGAGTTCTTTCAAATTAATTTTATTGAGTGAAATGTTGCATACTATACAATTTATAAAATGAAAGTGCACCACTCAGTAATTGTAGCATACTGACAGGGTTGAACAATCTTGACCACAATCAAATATAGACCATTTTGGTTACCCCAAAGCAAAACATTCTGCCACCAGCTATGCCCCTGCAATACTTCCCTGTAAGGGAAGGCAAGTACTGTGCTACCCTCTATTGTCACGAATTTTCCAATTTTAGAAATTAATTAATTGTTGTATTCATTTTTACTCAAAATGGACTCTTATCATAGCAACAATAAAGACCTTAACATTTCCAAAAATGGGAAATCCTGCAGAGTGACTTCTCACACACTCCAGGAGTGAAACTGAAAACCAACAGCAGAAACATACTCAGAATGCAGTAATTTTTCCTCTCTCTATTGCTATTATTTTCTACTTCATTTATATATACATATATATATATATATATATATATATATACACACACACACACACACATACATACACTAACTTTTCAATCTAAAAAATGTCTCTTCCATCTTTTAGTAGAGGAAGGTGAGAAATTGGAAGGAATCTACTTAGTCCAAATTTCAAACACCATTAATTCCTATTACTTTTTCAGCTGCACTTTCCAGCAATTTCTGGTCTTACAGTAAAATATTTTCCTTATATGAAAAAGTTAATATAACAATAAAAGTTTCCTTGTTTTTCTAGGTATCTTTTTAAATTAGGGGTATTACTCTAATTAAAATATAACAAATATGCTTAAATAAATTTATGCTACTATGAAAAACACTAAAAAATTAATTAAAATGCTTTCTTATTAAATATATCCAAATAATAATAACCAGCAGGTAAATCTAATTCAAAAAATAATTGTTACATTTTAAACAACTTTAAACTAGCACAATAATTAAAAGCCAAATGCTTGCTTTCTTGACATTGTAATACATATGATTAAGATTTTCTCATCAAAGAGTCAATTTTAATGTTTCTAAGAAATATAAAATTACGCATGTGTAATTGTGAATTACAAACATGGTAACTGCGTGACTGAGGAAAACCTAGGTCAATTATTAGAATGACCCTACTCAGACTAATTCAGTGGAACATTTCAACAATAAGCAGCTCAAAACTATTTTTCTGATTCAATAGAAAATCACTTTTTATTGAAGTACAGATTTTTTTTTGGTACGGGGATCGAACTCATGACCTTGTGCTTGTTAGGCAGGCGCTTATACTTCTGAGCTAAACCCCGATCCCTTGAGTATAGATTTTTAATTTGAAAATGATCCTGTGAAAACTTTTAAATATTTAAGTGGAAATGAGTTCACTGCCCTCCCCCCAAAAAACAATTTATCAGTAATAAAATTAATGAGATCTTTAGATTAAATGATGTCACACATCTTGCCTGGTTTCATTCTCCTGCACTCACAGTATAGGTGCACATTCCTTTTTTACTGCTAAAAATATACATGAGTTTATATGAATCTAGATCTTATTTACCAGGGCAAGGGGGCAGAAGACCTGGAAGCACTTACAGACGCCAAAGCTGGCCGCCCAGTGTCCAGGGCTCGTTCCAGGCTTATCTCCTTTAGAAGGCAAGGGAGCGCTAAGCTTTCAAAGGGTATTCACCTTCCCCAAATAGTTTAGAGGCACTATTTCACAAAACTCGGAAATGAGACCATGTATGTTCACTTTAAATGTTTACTTAACCACAATAAAAGGTTAGATAGCTTTCCCAAGTGCAGTAAGTTATGATACCTGCTACAATGTGAGAATTTAAACATACTTTCAACTTAGCTTCCACGCATTTATCACACCTGACACAAAAGCCTTTTTGAAAGTATGATTTAAGCTTGACTTAGAAAATGTCATTTTTCTTTCTTCCAGCAGTAGAAATATAGGATAAAACTCTGGGCCAGGCCAAGAGTCAGAAAACAAAGGAGCAGAAAAACATTAATACAGACCACACTGCGCTAAAGAGATGATTAAGGAGTTTAAATTAGTTTATCATCTTTGTAATTTATGCTTCCTAATCCTGAGGTTTTAAATTCATATAAGCTTTGTTAAAATAAATACTGTGACTATAATATTGTGTCATACATTCTCCAAACATTGTGCAGAACTTATAAATAAGGAAAGAAAGAATGAATGAAAAGGAAGGAAGGGAAGAAGAAAGAATGGAAGGAAGGAAGGAAGGAATGAATGAAGGAAGGAAGGAAGAAAGAAAGAAAGAAAGAAATAGAAAAAGTAGGATTATGCTCCAAGATATATTTTTACTAGCTTAACTGTAATATTAAGGAAGTTTCCCTCTGCAAATTGTTGGTAATATAGGATTCAGCCTTCAGAATGTTTTTCCTTTTATAATTACTACCTGAGACAAGGCGTACATTAGTTTGTCTTTCCAAAGAATAAAGAACTTGACCACAGCACTAATCAAAATCATGGTTTTTAGCGAAAATTTCACGAATACTTTGAGTTTTACTAAGAAAGATAATACTGACATAAAAATTATGGTCACATTTGACTTTGTTAGTCTTTCATTCTTTTAAGATATTTAATCCCAGGATATTGCATTACCGTAATGCAATCCAGGGTGGTCTTTGTAAGATGAATGGGGTAACACAGAGATCTGTTTATTCTTGGGCAAATCTGTTTCACTGACTAATTAGAAGCTTTTAAAAGTTTTACTCCTGTTCCTTTGTACAATGATTCTCAAGAGGGGCTTGGTTTTGTCTATATAGATGTTATACCACACCTGCATTTTAGTTTACGTAAAGTTCCAAAAATATACACTGCTGTTCTCACACTTACTGTATGCTTAAAAAGTTAATAGTTTTGGCAAACTGCAAAAGCTTTCAATTTGGAAAGTGTTAAATGAGTATTTGAAAGATCCGGCGCAGCTCTGGGTGCTTTTAAATGCACATAAGTCTCCAGTCAAACCTTTGAGAAAGGGCAGGAGAGATTTAGGCATCAAGCTGTGGCTAGAAGACAAGAGTAGAGGCCAGAGCCCAGAAATCAGCTGTCCACAAAGGAGATCTGAGTTCAAACATTTTGCTCACTGCCCCTGCTCCTTACAGAAGCACATGATAATCGATTTCACATTTGCTAACAAGGGCCCTATTCATAGGGGTTTCAGCTATTCCTGTAGGTCTTCACCTTCCAGGTCCTAGGTGGGAGGGAAGGGAAGTCTTGTTGGTAAGTTATTTATCAAGATCAACTCTTTTAACTGTGTCACAGCATTCGGCATCTGGACTGGATCCGCCTGCCCGTGTGCTGGAACGCAGATTTTGCATACTGCTGAAGGGAAACCAGGTCTGCTGGCATGGCAAAATACCAGGGCGGCGCAAGTCCGAACATGACCTGCTGAGAGCAAAGCTTATGATCCAAGAGGGCTGCAAATGCGGGCTGCAAAGGCAGGAATCAGATTCCTCTCTGACAAGATTTAGAACAGGTCTGGGGCCATCTGCCCTAGAGAATGGCTCCAATGAACTCAACACTCTTCCTTCCACATTCTCTCTAGCCTGGCATCAGCTTCTGCAGAAGGACCCTGTGTGCATCTTAGTGCTCCAACAGACTGAAACACGTTTGGGGGGTCATCTGGTTATATCTACTGCCTTTCCATGTGTGTCTGATAGGAATGTTGGCATTTTTAAATTTACTAGGAAAACTAGCAAACCTCATGGAAAGCTTAGTAGATACGATTTGCAATTTCTTGATCGTGTGGAATTAGTTTAAGGCATCAGGGCTCTCTCTTAAAAGGAGATCTACATGTCACTTGGTCAAAAATGCTTATTCTAAAAGCAAATTTATGTGAAGAAAAATTCTCATGGTGTGGTTTCCTTTAGTTTGTGGTTTTCCTGCTATAAATCTTACCTTGGAAACACTGAACTTTATTCTTTTGTAGATCCATTGCTATTTTCCACACTGAGAACTTTCTAGGCTTAGGAAATGTAACTGTGACCCACAGGGAATAAGGCACTAATGATTTTTACAGAGCCTTCTCTCTTTCTAGTCCCCAATCTTGTTTCTCAGCTATGATAATTACCCTTGGCTCTATAAATCAGTGTAGACTGGAGTAAGCAATGCTTCTTATGAAATGCAATAAAATACTTCATCAGCTGCCATTTCAAAGACAAAAAAAAAAAAATGACTGCAATTCTCAGAAGTATCTCTTCAGTTACCAAACCCACTAAGTTACAGTTAAGTGACTCCTTTTGTCTCTATTCTGCTTTCATGTACAAATATGTCCAAGCGATAAGAAAAGGGATTACTTACATACATACATCACTGAAGAAGTTTAAACTCTTTTCTTTAGAAGCTGTGGCAGAAGAGTCTGAAACCCTGGCCTTGTCTGCAAAGGGAGCTTACCTTTGGATTTTCTTCCAAAAACAAAAGCCTTGCCAAGGAGTTGCCAAGAAGGCCTATAGAGATCTTCCAAGTCCAGCTGCCATCTCTCTGGCTCCAGATACCGAATGAGATCTTCCAGGGTACTAAAGGCCGTGACAGCGTTGTTAAGCAGGTCCAGCGGCAGGGCTGAAGGGGGTAGCATTGAAGGGCTCACGGCCTCTGTGACTTGCTGAAAGCAAAACAACCTGCATTAACTACTTTCAAAATAGCAGGGTTCCCTTCTGCAATTACACATCATTGTAAGGACAGAAACACACGGGAAGCCCAACTGCATTCAACCTGGCTAGGTGGAAATGTTTTACACAGATTTCATACTGAGGAATTCTGATGGATCTTCCATGAAATCAAATGAGGCACCATCGATGTAGATATCTTCTGTTTATTTAAAACTATCTCCACGATCCAATTCCTAAACTTTCCTGATTCTTTGTTTTGTAATATTCCTCAATCTGGAAAATAGCTTGGTAGTTACAAAAGTCAGTGTCACATGAATTAAAATAGTAAAATACAGTAAGTCATACAACCTATGGTAAAATGGAGGAGATTCTTCTTCAGCACTGGTGAAAAACTTTTTAATTAAGATAGAAAATGCCTAAAACATAAATGATCAATCTGATAAACCTGTCTATATTTTTTTACACCAAGGACTCGATAAGATTAAGGGACGGGGGGTGGGGAACTTTGTCGAACTGCCTATGTGACTGCCCCAAGAGTGGTACACAGAATACACCAAACAGGAAGAATAATCCCATAGAGGAAAAATGAGCAAACTATGCTAAAAATATAAGAATATGCTTAATAAATAGAAAATGCTATACTGTAACTGATAAGAAAATAGTTTAAAATTCATCACATCATGCAAAACAAAAGTGATGTATTATTTTGCATTCTTAAAAGGCAGACACTGCTCACATAGGTAAGGTTATGAAGAATTTAAAATGGGATGCTGAGAAATGAGTGCCACAGGCCCTGGGAGGGGCCACAGAACGGGAGCAGGGCACCGCCCCAGGGACCAAGGGGACCAGAACCAGCTGTGTGAGTGCTGGAGTCTGCACGGCTCGTGCCCCTGCAATCACAGCTCTCACTTGCGCACGTGGACGTGTGTGCCCACAGGCCCCGCAGCCCTGCTGAAGCAGAGACACCCTGGGGGAACCCATCTCCACCTGCTCAGGTATGAGCTAGGGCTGGGTGGTGGATTACAGTGTCTATAACTAGTCGGTGGGGCGCTCCACCGAGTAGGTCAGTGATTTCCATAAAGGCAGGGACTTCTAATGCTCAGAAGGAAACAAGCCTTCCCAGTTTTCAATGTGTAGCGAGTTGCACAGAAGAGTTCAAAGAGGCAAAAAGAAATTCAAAGAGGCAAAAAGAAACAGAAAAGTGCAAATTAAAACATTCGTGTTTGTTGACGTTCATTTACAGCAGTGGTTATAATAATATTCTAGCCAAAAATTGCATTTATTTCTTTATGTATTAATTTTGAGACCAGGTCTCAGTATGCAGCTCCAGCTGGCCTTGAACTCATAGTGAGCCTCCTGACTAAGGCTCCCGATTGCTGGGATTACAGGCATGCATCACCATGCCTGGTCCTAGAAATTAAATTTCTAATTGTGGAATAGATTATCATGCTATTAAAAAAATGAAATAATGTGTGACCACTAAAAATGAGATCTCTAGAAATGTTTACTAACAAAGATGCTGAAAAGCAACAAATACGCAATGCAGTTTAATATAAGTGTACACACACATTTTAACACACCGTGATTCTAATATGCATAAACAGAAACAAAATAAGAAGACCGAAAGGTTACTACAAAGATTGCTTATGGATGGTTTAAACCAGAATGTGCGATTTTCTTTTTTTTATATTTTCAGTGTTTTGCATCACCAAATGGATTCCTTTTAGAGGTCTGGTTAAAATAATAATATTTCTTACACTAAAACACAATCACAGCAGCTCTTCCTTCTTATTGGCATTTCTGGCACTGGGCTGGACACGAAAACCCACGGCCTAAATTCAGCAGTGTCCAACCCTGTCTGCTCGCCTTCATCTTTTCCTCCTGTCTCTCTGCGCTGCTTTAGAGGGGTTAATCTACCTAAGACAAAATATTGCTGATCATGTGATGAATCTGCACAAATGCCCACCCGTCTCTCATCTGGAGGATTAAACCCAAATTCCTTAGCGACATCAGAGGCCACAGGTCTGATGGGGCTCACATCCCATCTAATCCTTTCCTCACCAAAGCCAGGCATCTTCTGGGTCTTTCTGTGTCCGACACAGTGATTTTACCCATGCTGGCTGCTGCCCTGCACACCCTGAGCACAAGGCCCGCTGCTGTGGATCCACATAATAAGCCTTCAGCGTTTATCACAGCCTGTGCAGAACCCAGTAGAGCCACGAGGCCATCCATAGCAGCAGGACCACGGCTGTCTGACACACAGTGCTGTGTCCCTGACAGAAGCCTGCTGTGCGCTGCCCAGAGCCTCCGGCTGGAGTAGCATGAGATGTTCTGCCAGCTGAATGAAGGAGCCCCTTTCCCCAGGAGGCTTGGCTGAGGCAGGGGTCCTGGTTTTGCTGGACAAAGGGGCCTTGGTTTCTGGGACAAAGTCTCCCAGGCCACTGCGGACACTCTCAGAGCCCATGCTCAGGTAGCAGTGCGATGACAACACCTCGCTTCCTTTTTACTTTGAAGGCTTAATTTCCTAATGTCCAGGACCTGGTTACAACATTAAGACCAAGAATTTTTCTAAGTTTGTTATAATGTTTCATTTTTCTTTAAATTTCATTTTAAAGAGATTAAGACAAAAGAGGACAGAACAAAGCAGATCAGAACAGAACTATATAAGCAACACAGCACTTCACAACAAGACAACTGGATATTAACAGTAGCTTACCATAATGTCTCTTTCTTTGAAATAGTTGAGCACACCTTCACATACAATAGTATCAAACACAACAAAGTGGTATAAAACCACTCAAGAGAATGAAAGTATTACAGGACATTCAGAACCAAGTAACAGAAAATGAACAATGACTACTGTATTATCTCATTTTCCATAAAAATTTTGTTTATACAGTCACACATATTAAAATCCAATAAGACACAATGTGATAGAACCAATGGAAACAGAAGAACAAAAGCATGGTAGGACTTTAAAGCAAGATATTAAATCAGCAATGGCTATTATAATGTCTTGTTTTCTTCAAAATGGCTGTTCATACCATCACAGATAATAAAATCAAACAAAACAGAATAAAATCATTTCAACTAATGAATGCAAACATTATAAGGCTTCAAAGCAATGCAATGGGGAATCATGATTACCATAAAATCTTATAATGTTCTGTCTTAGCAACTAGATTGCTAAGCTTTCGAAAAGTAGAAGCTAAATTGAATATGCTTTTATTTACTTTCTGATTTTTCTAATTGTGCATGAAACACAAAATTGCTTTAGCCAGAGTATACAATGACTGATAACAACATAACAGATGTAAATAAACAAGGCTTACTACAAATTTGCATTTTTAAGTTAACCAAACTGGCTTATATTGAGTTTTATAATGTGAGAAAGTTGATACAACATTTTTTGCAAACTTAAAAGAAAATAAGCCAACATATATCTTTATAAATAAAAATTAAGAGGTCAATCATCCTCAAGAATAACTGACACTAGCCAGACCCAGTGATGCACCCCTATAATCCTAGCACATTGGGAGGCTGAGGCAGGAGTACTGCAAATTAGAGCTCAGCCTGGGAAATTTAGCAATTTAGTTTAAAAAACAAAAAACAAAGGCTGGGGCTTGGGCATAGGATAAAGGCACTAGAATATGCATCCACACAAAGACAAGGAGCATATGAGCATTACCCATGATCCTGATGATAGAAAACATATCCAAAGCTTTATAATCACATGCAGAAAGCGAACCATCAGAAAATTCATAGGTTCAGTATAAATTACTGAAGCGTCACAGTGCAAGTGTCTACCACAGGCACGATATAAAGTGGCCGATGGTTATTTAGGCTATTTTCAATTAGGCTGAGACCCAACAATGAGTTGCTTCATTTGGCTGCAGAGTCCATTGGAAGCTATATGAATCGAGAATTCAATAAAAAGTTACAACCTAAGCCAACTGGTACTGGGATAAAGCTTAAAATATTAATGCAAAAGAAAGTGACACAGAATGATCCTGTACTACTGAGCACACAAAATGTGTCCATTTTGCAGACAGTGAAGTGTCTGGATGTATCTTTCTCCTGCCTGGGGAGAGGGTGGGAGGGAAGCCTCTGGTCACACATTCCTGTAAGTACAGATTGGTCAGAAACCCTGCATGCTACTAAGTATTTAAATTTAGTTAAACACACACACAAAAGACTCCAGGTATACACAGATCTCCACCTCCCAACCCCCTCCTCACCAAAGAGAATATCAGGAGGGGAACTAATACATTGTCCATGAAATCCCGGGACAGACTGGACAGAGAGGACCCTGTGCTGCCATTTAAGATCCTTCCCATAACCGCAGCCCCACCCTCGGTTCAAGGAACAAGCAGCGCTCGCTTTCACAGTTCTGCTTTTCTAGGTTGGTTGTATCCATTTGAGGGACCCACAGGGGCCAAGGGGAAAACAAGAAGTTAAGGGGAAAAAAGCGTCCTCTGAATTGTTATCTTCCTGCTACAAAATGTCATGTTCAGTACCGACCACTGGAGTTCTCCCCTGTACTTAGTGTGAGGGAAATCCTAATGGAATCTTTGATACTTAAAAATCGGGCCATGAAGCTAGTTATAGAAAATTTATATCTGATGCCCTAGCTTGAATGGGATTTTCATGCTCCCTATTCTGTATTTTTTATGCTTGTAAAAATAGGCGCTTAGACGTTATGGGTTGGGAGATGGTGGACGGTGACAGGAGCAGAATGTCCTGGGGCCCCATGAAGAGCGGATTTCTGGCCCTGCCCAGGGTTGCAGAGCTGAGTCTACACTGCGCCTGCCTGTGCAAGACTCTGGGGCCAGCAGCTCTGCAGGTCACATAGGAAGACAATGATGCAACCTCTTTGCTCCCCACTTTCAGCCTCTGAAAAGCACAGCGGTAAAGTAAGAGACCATCCAGCTTCCCTGACTGCCCCATTTACACATCCTACATCCTGTCAGATCCCAGGGTCCCTAGAAGCATC